GTGAACACGAAAGGAAAATAGGCGTATCATATTTTTTTTGGATGAGATGCTGTTTAAAAAACTTTTGGCGGAATATTCTTCGAGAATCTTTGTTAAAATTTTTGCCGAGAAAGTTACTAGGGGAAACTCTGTGTAAATTGCACCAAATTTTCCCGCCAGAAGTCTCAGTATATATACGAAAAATATTTCTAGACACTTTTTTAATTAATTTGGTTGAAAATTACTCATTCAGTTAACTTATTTATAATAAAGAGAATTTGAAAGTGAAACTTCTGTGTGTATGGATTGATAAAGAAACAACAAGGAGATTACAAAAAACTGATCCTTTGAGTTGTTTATTAAAAGATAGTAAAAAATACATGAAAAATAACAAGAGGTGTAAATGAACATAGCAGTTACAACTGAGGATGGAAAAAAAAAATCCGGCGCATACGTATTTTTTAAGCACCGTATTTCTCTAAGTTTTTCGGCGGGAAATTCACCATATTTAAAACGATGGTCGGTTGCTGGGGAATTTTTCTCCAGGACGCTACTTTGACCACGTGATCACGCGTCGTTTTGGCAATGGCTTCTCCAGACTTAATAAGATGTAAATTATGTACATAAATTGCTGCAAGTATTTCCGCTCATTTCATGCCCATTGCCTTTGATAACACGTATGCATAAATTATAACACCTTAATTTTCTGAAAACTGCAAGGGAGGCGTGTTCCGGGTTTTTGTACTCGAAATGTAGGCTGGTATATCCCACTCACTAAAAAACTAAAAAAACCTTTAGGAGTAGTTTTACAGAGGACAGACAGTAATGAATCTCTAGCATAACTACCTCTGAAGTTTTGTCATGACAAAAATAAGGATCTGAGTTTAAAAATTTGTGTATATTGTCTCTTCTCGGTTCACACGAACACGAAAAAGCCTGTGGGACCCCTGTCTGAGATAGATTTTGCTTATTATTATGCAATGTATCCCACAAACCCTTGGCATCGTAAACTCAGAATGTAAGTTGATGCAATGGCGTCGAAATGCGGCGAAGAAAAAGAGGAAAGCAGGTATGTAGAACGAGTTTAAACCACCATTTTGAAATACAGTTTTGACCGTCCGCCATTTTTAAATTCTCGACATAATCCTTCTCATACCAAAACTGTTTCTGTTTGTTCTAGAGTTGATAGACTGTGCTCGAAGAGCAGAAAGTGCAGTAAAACCTCTGGCAGGTGCGATTCGAAGAGAGCGGTTGTGAACCCATTTTGGAACCGTTCTCCGTTACAGGTGGGAAATGCGATCAAGAGGGAAGCTAGAGATGCTGCTGAAGCTATCACAAATAATTGTGATCGGAAGAAAATTCGCGTAGAGGAAAGGGAGGCTAGTGTTAATGCGAGAGAATCAGAACTAGTACAGAAGGAGAGAAAGATACATGAAGTAGAAGAGCGAGCTAACGCAGCAAGACTTGAATCAGGTTGAATTTGACTTTGTGTTCTAAATTTAGATACAGCAGTGCAAACATCCTTAAACGTACATTTTGTGAGGAGTCTAAAGATATTGTAAGGTGTGCCCAAGAGATAAAATTAGATGAAAAACTTATAGCTATCTTTAAGCCAATCAGATGTGAAACATGTGAAATGAGATTCTCAGATGTGGTCCTCCTTGAGTCTCATCAAAAGGTTGCACACTCATCAAGAGAACAACTGGCTAGGCCATCTAGTAAGATTAATCCTCAAATGATGAACGTTAAGGAACTGAAAGAAGAACTATATGTAAGAGGAGCATCGTTAACTGGGGATAAAGCTCATCTTGTTAGAAGATTGGAAGTGATTCTTGCAGCAGAAGTTAGTTAGACATTCATCATTCCATTAATGCCCCTTTTATTACAAAAAAAAAAATGAGGGGACTTCAAGGAGAAAATCACAAAGCCTAGTTCTAAATCATTCATATTATTGTTTTCGTTATTACAATGAATATTATGTCATTGATCCAAATTTTATAAAAGTAGTGTATGCATATATGTGATAATTCTAACATAGGAACTTAAAGTGAATTGATAAGTTCCAGGAAAAATTAAAGCTGGATCTGTCCATCTCAACACAACTGCTGTAATTAAGTATCAAATTTGGAAATATGTTTCATAAGATCATGATTTTGCAGTTATTGTCTTAATATGATATTCATGTATGTACTTTCTTGAAAGTGTCAAGAGTGACATGAGTCACAGGGCCCCAAATGTTACCTTTGTGAACAAAAAAAGTAATATTATNGTTTGAATCTCTGAATAAATCTTGCCTTTGATTCACTCTTGAAGCATCAGAGTTACTCAACAGTCATTCTGCAAGAAAATAAAAATATGATCCGTAACAAATGTTACGGATTTATGATCCGTAACAAATGTTACGGATCATAAACCTTGCTTTTCGACACGATTTGAGTGTGGAACACTCGAAAAATAAATGGAGGAAAAATAAACGGATTTATGATCCGTAACAAATGTTACGGATCATAAACCTTGCTTTTCGACACGATTTGAGTGTGGAACACTCGAAAAATAAATGGAGGTTTAACTTATGTGGTTATGTTAGACGACTATGAATAAACATAATTCCTAAATATGTTGATTAAATATACAAAGGAACGTTATCTGGATTTAGCGATGACTTGAATACAATTGCTGCTAAAAATCGTAATGAATTTGATAATAGTTTCGCATGTTTCCGAAATTAATTTTTAAAACTGAATATAAGCTGTCTTCTCCTGGTAAGAAATGATCAAGCAATGTAATTTTGATTACACAGGTTAAAATTTATCCAGCGAGGCACAATAAGCAATTATTTTAAACACGAAGGCGCGCTATATAAGGAAGTCTTCCCTGGGAAGACCTAGGCTCATTTTTCACTCACCGTTGACGAGTGCGGGTCAAATTTAAATGCTGGTAGACGAACAAAAGGAACATGAGGTAATGTGCGAACCATCTACTTCGATCTCAAATTTACCACCACAAACAAAGACAGTTTCCATTGGAGAAAGGAAATACAAATCTCAAAAATTCTTGTATTGTAATGAAGGCATAAAACAATTTTGAGGAATGCGCCCGCTGCTCACTGCTTTGGAGTAGCTATAGCTCAAGCTGACTTGACTCTAAGAGTTCTACATCACACGACTGTTGATTGACAAATGGTCCAGTGGGACCTAAGGCTCCTTCGTGTAGTTTTAAAGCGCGCCTTCGTGTTCAAGTGTCTGCAAGCTATTCCTCTGAGTTGATTGTAAAGGAATTCAAATAAAATGATTGCATGCAATAAACTTCTCTATAGTACAATAATATTTCCTATCAATTGATAAATATATAGTCATCTCTTTAGTGACGAAAAAATGTCCTTAGTCATATTTTTGAAGTAGAAAAACATTTCAAGGAAAAGTAATAACACGCAAACTTCAGTTTCCGACAAAGATAGTTATAAATGCAAGCCCTAATGAATGTCATTTGAATAACAATAATAAGATATTTCCTCGAGCAAAGTGTTTGATAGATAAAAGGCTGAATTGAACTATTCATGTGACAACATTAATTTTCAAAATTATTCTCTTCTAGTAAATAACTGAGCATTTCAACGATTTGAGCAGTCCTTGCTGAAAAATCAATCGTTGAAGTAATCCTCTGACAAATTATTTCCTCGTAAACATCTTTGAATTAATTCCGGCTTGAACTTATTTGTATTTAAAACTAGATTTCTTCAATGTCATGCGCTTACCATGTAGGCAACGATCGAGATGTTATTTCAAATTTCAAAGAAGTCTGGATTCAGTTTACAGTGTCTGTGCTTTGACGGAAAAGTTGTGCTATCAAAACAAATTGAACGTCTTTAAAGGTTTGTTTTCAACCTTTATTCCCCTATAGGTGCATCCAAACAGTTTCTTACTAAGGCTCAGACATTTTTCAATCGAACTTTGTATAAGCCTTGAAAGAGCAAATTTTGCAAATGCAATATTGTAAAGCAGTAGGAATGACTGCCAGAATTACTGCAAATCTGTTTGCTGACATAGCATCAGGAGATTGTTCAAGATGAAGTAGTTCTACTATCTTGTGAATTAAATGAAGTCTACTTTCCTTCTAAATATATAAAAAAAACTTCTAACTGTAACATATCAATGTACGCTGATGATCGTCAGGTCTACTTTAGACTGGAACATCTATAGCAAAGGTAGAAGGTCAACTTCAGTCTGCTGGAAATCAAATTTAGTACAATTTGGTGCGAGCAGAATCTACTGCAAGTAAATGGCAAGAAATACCAAGCTATGTTGCTGAATGTTGGAGGAAAAGAAAAAGGCACCTCTACTGATATCTTATGTGGAAATGAAGTCGTTGGTCACTCTGATAAATTGAAGCTCTTGGGGTGTGACAATTGCGATCAACTAAAGTTCTCAGAAAACATCAGTCAACTATGTCAAAAGGCGAGTCGACAAGTCGGTGTATTAATGCGGATGAGGAAATTAGTGCCTGAACGAGCCA